AGGGTTATACCTAAAAGGAGGGAGTTGACTATGAGGAAACTTTCTCGCCAGTAGCTATGCTTAAGTCCATCCGGATAGTCCTGGCCATTGCAACATATTTTGACTATGAGATATGGCAGATGGATGTCAAGACAGCTTTTTTGAATGGATATCTTGAGGAAACCATCTATATGGATCAGCTAAAGGGTTACATAGAGGAAGGCCAAAGGCAGAAAGTCTGCAAACTGCAGAGGTCCATTTATGGACTGAAGCAAGCTTCTAGATCATGAAACATCAGGTTTGATGAGGCTATAAAGTCTTATGGATTTGATCAAAACATTGATGAACCATGCGTCTACAACTACAAGAAAGAAGAGAAAGTGGTCTTCTTAATGCTTTACGTCGATGACATCCTACTCATTGGGAATGATGTGGGATTGATGACAGATGTAAAGGAGTGGTTAGCCAACCAATTCTAAATGAAAGATTTGGGAGAGGCAAGCTATGTTCTTGGGATTATGATTATTCAAGATCGCAAGAAAAAGTTTTTGGCGTTATCACAAAAATCTTATATAGACAAAATGTTGTCTAGGTATTCGATGCAGAACTCCAAGAAAGGGAATTTACCTTCTAGGCATAGTATTCATCTTTCTAAGGAGCTATGTCCAAAGACCCTACAACAGGAAGAAGATATGAGACGGTATCCCTATGCTTCGGCCGTGGGAAGCCTTATGTATGTCATGTTGTGTACAAGACCAGATATCTACTATGCAGTGGGAGTGGTCAGTCGCTACCAATCCAACCCAGGATTAGATCATTGGGTTGCAGTAAAGTGTATTCTCAAGTATCTTAGGAGAATGAGAAACTATATGTTAGTATATTCCGGAGAAGATTTGTCTCTCACCGGATATACAGATTCCGATTTCCAATCGGATAGAGATAGTCGACGGTCGACATCTGGATCTGTGTTCACTCTTAATGGAAGAGCCGTGGTATGGAGAAGTATAAAGCAAAAGTGTGTTGCTGACTCTACCATGGAAGCTGAATATGTTGCAGCTTGTGAAGC